ACTCAAAGGGTAATTTATTTTGAAAAAGTATTTTGAAAATACCTATTTTGCTTTTAGTGTTATAGTACTTTAACTGTTATGTTTTAAGTAACAATGTTTAATTATAATTAATACTACTGCACCAACACTCCGATCGTGCAAAAAAATTTGCTGTTTCATTATTTTTTAGTTCAATTAGTGGTCTACCTAAGTTCTGGGCTAAGGGGGGGGGAGAGTCATGACGCCCCCATGACTCCCATGACCTCCATGACGCTCCCCCTGGATCCGCCGTTGCGTCTTCTCTTTATTCGCTCAGTAACGTTGTTACAAAAAAAAAGATTCCCATCCAAAAAATAACAAGTATTGAGGTTTGATCTGGAGTCACGTTACTCCAGACTGATTTCTATAAATATTTAGATTAGGTAGACTATTATTTTTGAAATACTAGCTAGACATTATTAAGTTACTGTAGCCATAATGTAGTAGCCCAAACGTGCCAATGAGGAAGCCCTTGGCAAATGCTGCACCCTGATTGGCCCGTTTGAATTGGATCAAGAACTGCTCGTATGCCAAAAAGGTGGATTTGTATAAAATCGTGTATAAATCGCTTAATTATTATTATTACTCGTCGTGACAGTTGTGGCTCAAAACGGATCAACATTTATATATGGTCATCTGGCATTAGATCAACAAAAGGCCTCCGGATCAACAAGTGAAAAAGGATCAACAAAAAACTACCTATACGGCACGTCTGAGCCACAAAGTGCCCAAGGGGATATTTATATATATATATATATATATATATACATTTTTATTCCATACTCCATTTTCTGTTTATTAATATTTACTGGTCCTTGAATGTTACGATCAACCATGTTGTTTATTTGAGTAATTATAAAAAAGATTTTAAAAGAATTTCTATCTCTTTGTTGACAGTTTAAATAACTACAAATAAAAACTATAAGTGCCATTACCGTCTTACGGCTCGCTGATACATAAACAGCAGCACTGTTGATGTTTTAAAACGTTTATATTGATTGCCTGGGCCATAAATGCTAAAAGAAATATAAGTAAAGTGGGTATAGTCGACCAAAGTGATACGTAATTTATACGAATAGAACAAACTGTAAAATTTAAGAGAGGTACCTCTTAGTTACATATAATTCTGTTATCAATATTTAAATAATATCCATTCAACTTATTGGTAGTACTTGTAATGTATATTAATAATACCCATGTTTGTGGCGGTGTTCCGCCATTTTCGTGCACTTGGAAATGTAGCTATGTAATACCATGAACATAGTTTCATTTTTTGATTACAAATAGTATATAGTAGGTATAATATAGTATTTCGTAGTCTTAAATTTTATTTTTGTAAAATTACGATGAACAACAGTATACTGTTATTACTTCATATTCAAAGCCTAATCAAAGATAGCAAAAAAGAATAAATAATGTAAATTTTAAGAGTCGCTTCAGAGATAACGTAACAAAAAACAACTATTAAATTTACTTTGAAAGGAAACTAGTGTCAGATATATTTCAAGCATTTTAGTAAGATTTTGTATGCACTGGCACAAAAGTAATGTACAACAAAGAAAGTTTGAATAAGAAACTCTATAAAAGACCGAGTGCGTACGGGGAAAAATGTGTAAGAAATGATGTTTAACAATGGGGAGAGCACGGAAATGATGACTGACGTGGAAGAAACATGTATATATAAATAACGTATAAGTGCAGTGGAGATTATAGTATTTTTCTCTTGTAATACCCACTACAAATAATGTAGTTAAGCGACATAGCTTGCTAATTCAGAAATCATTTCAGTTGCCTAATGAAACTTAAAATCTAATCCATATCGGAGGACAGTACCGTTTTAAGAATTCCACAGAGGAGGTAACAGCAAACCTCGGTACCAGCGTTGTGCATTTTGACAAATATCATTTAGTAAGAAAATCAACAAATCAATAATTGCAATTTGTTAATTGTTCAGTATATCATTTAATATGAGAACTCGAAATCTATATTTAAATAAAATACTGTTATGTACCACTAGTGAGATGCTAAATATTCGCAAATTTAAACGATATACGCTTCTAAATGTTTTGATGTTCATTTTCTGTTTTTGTCTATAAGAGTATGGCGATATCAATCAGTTTCATGAAATAATTACATTTTGTAGTATGTAGTATGTAGTTTGTAATAGCTGTACTCATAGCTATTAATGTACAGTTGCTAATTATTTATTACCTTAACATTTGGTGTAGTGACCAAGTTTTACTTACTCCAATTATAAATGATTATAGTTGTCATAAATTAACATGTGTCTATATGGTAACACATATTAGTACTTAAAATAACCAATGTAACCTACATCAATTTGGCGTTACCCGGCGACATGGCATCGTAGTCGTGCTAGTATTATCGTAGTATGTTTAGGGCTCCCAAATTGTTATCCTAACTACTATGTTAAAATCAAACATCGAATTAGAGTGACCCAAAGGTCGATTGTATTTCGTGACGTGAATATTTAAAGAGAACGAGTAGATTGAGTAAATGTTGAATTAAGTATAGCCAAAAGTTCGCAAAACAGTACATAGAGATCAAGCTGAAATGTCACTCAGTTTCTATACAAAATGAACAATAACTTTCTTTGTTTCGTATTTTGCGAAGAATATTCAATAAGAATATTGTACTATGTCGTAATTAGATTAAGTAATTTTCAATAAATAATGTAAGCTTGCTTTAATATTACAGTTTTCATTTGTTATATATAAATTTATAAAGCTAATATTTTAATTTCGTTCTGTAATTATTATACAATACAGGAATATAAAATACAGAAAAAGTAATCTCTAACTTAAAAAAACAATTGTTTGAAATACATAATTTGTTTCAGAAAATATATACAAAACAAGTGAAGATGTAATTTATGAGGGCAGAATCAATTTTAGAAGCAAACATTTCTAAATTAAATTGGGATCGGGCATACTCGTTTGTTTCAATGGACCAGTCATTCTCAAAGTAGTCAATAACGTCTCCCTGTCGGCGCTGGAAGCTCTCCGGAGAACAGTAGAAAGGTCCGATTAAATTAGGAGGCATTAAGATCTAGTTGGAAAATAGCTAAAGATCACTATTATGTGTCACTATTAGTATTTTATTGAAATATAAGAAATATATATATTTAAAATAACACAATGACACAAAAGCTTTAATTTATTCTCAAAGTGAATATGACCTCATTAGACAGTGTACACCTTTACATGGTAATAGAGGACAATTAGGCGCCTACGCGTTAGTTTGCGGCTCCTTTTTTTGTGGACAACGCGCAAGTGACTCCTGGTGTTTCAGGCGTTCATAGACTACGGTAACCATTTACATCAGACAAACCGTATGCCTGTTTCCTACCATAGTAGTATAAAAAAAGTTCTTCAGCCTCCGAACACCATGAGGAGATGCGGTTTGACACCTGACGAGGTTCGGACTCTACTCTTAGACTAGTAGAGTCCGAACCTCGTCCGGTTAAGAAGGGTTCGGCATAGATACAATATCTACCCTTATTTAATTCTAGTTTTAAAAAAATCACCACTTTCTATCAACATCTGATTAATTTTATTTGTAAGGATGGTGTAGCTAACAGTACAAACAGTAAAACATAGTTTAGTCTAAGGGTAAATAATTTGATTTGAATCAAAGAGTACCGAACTTGTTCTATCATCCGATTACTTAACATTGGAATAAGACTGTCCAAGTTTCTGTGTCAAATTCCTATTCCTTTGGGTCATTTAGATAATTACAATCCGGGATTGGGCACAAAGTCACGTCCGACTGATAGTGTCACATAATACCCTACACTTCCTTCTGTATAGGTAAATATGTAGCGTATACAGTTATAGTTACTATATATAGGGCCTTTTACGCTCCGTAGCGCGTCCCAGAGGTTACACACAGTGTACTGTTTACTAGCGAGTAACATTACTGCCAACCGCTAAAATATACGTCATAACCAGGTATAATGTAAAAGCAGCGAGAAGCTCTTTAACGCATATTAATGTCCTTATTAAAAACAACACATGCAGTCTTATGCACATTTATTAAGACAGTAATAGCAGTATATTATAAATACTGGTTTAGTACAGTACAGATAATATTTTCTACCTTGCATGAAGATAACATATTTTTATGTAATTTTGAAATATTCAAAATACATTATCTATGTTATTAACGTTGTCTTAACACGAATAATTTTGTGGCAAAAATAACCTCTCTCCACGTTTCGACTAGGTTGCACTAGCCATGGTCATAAGCTGACTGGAGTAACAGCGATATCAATGTAGTTAGATGCCAGCAGTTTTGTGTTAATACCCGGTTAACAATATAAATAATGTATATTAAACACTATTAAATTAAGTTGTAATAAAAATCATTCGCCCAAATATTAATGTAACAGTAATCAAGTACAAGTATCTACTCAGAGTTCTACTATTTTTGTCCTACAATTTGAACAGCGAATATTAATTTGTTGTTTCTCCATTTCTCCTGAGCCTACTACATTTAACATTTTAGCTATCTGTTGACAGTTGAATGAAATATTAGAGGGTACAATACAAATACAAGCCAAATAGAGAGGGGGTAATAACTATGGCGCATGATAAGTATATAATTTAACTCTAACAAGTATAAAAGTGTCATGAATATAGAAGCTGTTATGAGAACAGTATGATATAAGTTACAATTATTATGATCTTATATCCTTTTAAGTGAAATATATGTCTAATTGTAATAACATTTATAAAGGAGAAAAGCTTTATAAAATATTCCATTACCATAAAATACGTTATTTTTATCTGTAAAAGCTTGTTCTAATATTAGAGTTATATCTTTATGCCTCGTATAAACTGCTTAGTAGGTATTCAATCTATTTTAGTGGTGATTACATAGGTAATTTAGAAAAATTATGCTCTAATACTAATATTAAAAAAGAATATTATATATAAAATAATTAAATATTTTCTTTTCAGATTGTAACGTAAGCAATAAATAAGGTAGAGATGGCAGAACGAGCCGTAAACTACTTCTTCCGAAAATACAACACCAACAGTAAGTATTAAAAATATATTACAAAATACTAGCTACCTGCCTCGGCTTTGTTCGGGTATCTCTCTCCTAACGCGAGAGGCTTAGATTAGACCCGGCGATATAAGAATTTGGACCCCTTGTTACTGTTGTATACGTATATTTGATACGATAACATCCAGATATAATAATAATAATATTTTTTTATTTCATTAACCCAGATGTTTTACATAGTACATATCACATATCAACAAGGTTATTAATGTTTATTTATATATTTTCTTAACCTGGGGATGGGATCTCCTTGTAAGCATAATTAAATACTTGTTGGAGATCACACTCTTCTAGGGTTATTTATTATTATACTAAGAATTTGTTTCTACTGTAAATGACGTGTGTGTGTGAGATATAGTATGAAGAGATTTACAAAAATAGTTCATTTTATAAGTTTTCATTTGAAAGTCGGAATTTGATCGTCACAAACAGTGATCGCCTAAGATAGAAATATCTTGCAATATGGAAATAAATTAAAATCGGCATTTTCTATGCCTATCTGCTTGTTCGAGTTTAAGTACAAAAAGACATAAGCTTGTATTGTCGAAATCGTCATCTATATTTATTTTGTAACTGACAACATCTATTCTGTTACTTCGAGTCTATAGAGACTTATATAACTACAAATTATACTACGCCGAGTGTACCGATGACCTTTAGAACCGTTGTGACGACCTTTTATCCAGTGACGTAATATTTGTAAACAGAATAACATTCTAGATAAGTATTTAAAAAAGAAATACCTATTCCATGAACTTTGCAGTGATATGACATATATCTACTTCTTAAATGACGCATGAATTTAATTAATCTGATGGAATCTAACTTTCGAGAATTGTCACGATTCGGAGTGATATAAACTGTGATATAAACTCTAATATTTAATTATGCAATAATATATGAATTATTTAAGATCGTAATATGAGATATTCCGTGCAATTTTTCAATAGGGCAAAGTATACAAATTTATATTATAAGTGCAAGCTATCATTAGAAATAATGACCGCGTTTATAACATACATATGGGTAAAAAGACTTGGGAGTATGCCAATATTTATACAAATAGCAGTCTGCGAAAACTTAAAAAAGGTAAATTTATCGTCGTTGGAATAGGTTGTTGTTCTTATGATAAATGGATAATCGAATAAACGTCGTAGGTAACAGTAACGGTAAAAATAAAAATCTCAATCATACTTAGTACCGGTAGGTACAGGCTGCCTGGGCAGGTATTGTTTAGGTAGGTTCTGTTTAAGCAGTCAGTATTAGAAGAGAGGAGTCGTAACATAATACTGGAACCAGTACGGAAGTCGCCCACATTGATTAACTTAATTATTTTTTAAGAATTCTAGATCGAACGCAAGAATAATAATTCTGTTCGGTAATATCGAGTTCCCTAGAAGCTTTACTTGAAACTAGATGGCGCTGTCTCAAATGTCCTGGGTTACTGACTTATTAAAATAAAAAAAATGTACGGTTGGTACCTTTCATGCATGGTAACTCTCCATTAGCAGTAACATTATAAGAGTAATTTGAAAAAAGTTTGTGTTTGAAATATCTAACACAATAATATTTATCTATACGATTTTGCGAATACTTTCTTTATATAAATTAAAAATTTAATACATCTAAGTGTAATTGCTGGAGCATTTTTATTCTAAAAAGAAATGTTAATGGAAAATCTCTTTTATTGATTACAAAACTTATTTCTTTGTTAGAAAATGAAACAATAAAATCGGAATTTTCCAATTCATTTCCAGTAACTTGGTAGGTATGTCCCGAGCGGAACATTGGAACAAATGGAACACAAGTTCGAACGCTGTGATTTCGTAAGTGCTACAATTTTAACTTTTTATTATTTGCAGTGTGTGTGGAATATTAGAGAGATCTGAAAATACGTTTTATTTTTACACGTCTGTACGATTAAATTATGTTTTCATTCATGGTATTTTAGAGTTATTCTATTATTATAATAATAGATCCCCTTCATACAATTCTCTGCTAATTACAGTAGTTATTTTTAATGTAAAGAAATAGAGAAATATCGACAACATTTATATACGGTATCTATTAAAATGGCTTTCAAATCACTTCTAAATGTCTAAGAAACCTTGTGTTCTATTTGTCAAACGATACGCAATATAATCCAATTACAATCATTACAAGTTTTCCATTTCTTGCATGGTTTCAAAGTTTTTATTATGTTTCGTTATTTTATACCGTATTCTTATAAATAAAGTGACATTACAATAGATGTAATTATTTTCAATTGTATTTGTTTACAATAGAGTCCTATAAAACGTCTTAGAGACACCACACATTTCCGATAAATATCTGACGGCTCGTCACCATTAAGCTAATTTATTGGCGCATTGGTTTTGCATACAAGCAATCGAATAGCGTCATGGATACGGCCCATCCCAATTAAACTCGATAATGTGAGTCCAGGCTTTTGCTTCATGTTAAATTGTTTGTCAGTAGTTGGCGTAGAGTCACGGTGAGGGGGCATGGAGGGCGCGGACGATCGTGATGAGTTGCTGGAGTGGGAGGCGCTGTACATGCGCCTGCCGGTGCAGAACTTCACCGGGAACGCGACGGAATGGAATCCCAGCGTCTGGAACTCCACCGTGGTACCGAATTCCACTTGGGTGGGAGCGTCCGCGCCCTTCGACTCGCCCGCCGCGCTGGTGCGCGCTGCTGCCAAGGCCGTCGTCCTCGGCCTGCTTATTCTCGCTACTGTAGTCGGTAATTGTTATTATTTGTTTATTTTATAATAATAGCATATTATATTATTAAGACTATGTGATTTTAGATGAAAGAAAATTAACAAAAAAGAATTATAATTCCATTGAATTTTACTCATTAGTAAATAGGTACGTATATACTTACATATGTGAGACTTAATTATACGTAATAAGGTTTTTTCATATTTTTATGTATATATTCAAATACTTCCTATTAAATAGTTATTAAATATAACTGTAAGTTAATAGTTAGAGAGAGACTTACAGAGTAAAAACGTATAGGAGTTTAGTCAAAAAAGGTTGATGATGCAAATTTTGTACCTCATAGTTAGAGCATATATAATAGATGATTAAAAAACCTACGTGTAATGTATGACTTACATCATGAATAATATATTTATTCATGATGTAAGACATACATCTTATATTATACATACATACATTACATGTCTCATAACATCCAAATAATATGTCATAATTTTTGGACAATACCTGTAGCTTTGACATCTGTGATAATTAATTAAGTATTAAGATATTATATATACCATATCCAAGGCTCCAAGGGTAACGCAATAATAACCTATTATTATTACTAGGCAGTACATATAATGTAAATTTTAATGCCAGATAGACAAGATAATAGAGTAGGTAAGATTATTTATGTTCTATTCTTATACCTAAATAGAGGTGCCTCATCGTATCTCAAAAACATGATGTGTTTAGAGTGTTACTTTGTATTTCAAACACGATGTTGATTAGACAGACGGTAATGTATACACTATACTGACGATAAGGTCATATCTACTTGCTTATAAATAACTAACTGTGCAGCATGGTTTTGCCTGATGTTTAATTTAAACAGCACAAAAAAGTAACAGCAGACTTGTCTCCTGATCCACCGCGTCGTATCGCATCACCCGCATGCTTTGTCTTGTCTTTTTTCTCTTTAAGTCATAAAGAGTGTAATTTTTTATTATGATAACTAATAACATTTCACAAAAACTTGGCTATTGTAGAAAGGTTTTATTCAATTTGTATGATAATGTGTAAATCTAAAGATTAGTGCATTCAATCAAACTCTTCGGTTTCGTTATTAGGTATCTATAAAGATTGTCTGAAGTACTGAACAATATTTCAAAAGCTTTTAATTGTAGGTACTTAGTTTATTTTCTTGAATCTTAATGTTTCATAAGTATACAAACAGACTCACGTCGTTTATTGGAGATAAAAGCGGTTTATTCGATACGAACGAGAAAATTCTGTGATAGGTCTGAACCTGTCTAAGCTATCTAACCGCTACAGTCACATTTATCAGGGATTAATTCATGTAATTGTTTTGTTACACAAATTGACAAATACGCAAATAAATAAATCACCTAGTTATACGGTTAACAACTTGCTTTCTAAGCTGTTGTCCGTTTTGAAGGATGAGTTATGGCAGTGAAATTCAATAACAAAATAAGGAAAGTTTGTAGACGGTACTAAACAACTAACTAAAATTGTTTTTTCGTAAATTCATACAATATATAGAATTTATACGGTCTCGTCCAAAAATCTATTCCCATTAATACGAATATCTTAAAATATGTATCTTGCTACAATCGAAATCGCAATGATCTAAAGTAAGACTGAATCAGTAGACTTGGAGGCCGGCTATTTATTTATATGTATAAATAGAATATACCTACTTTATTTGTAACATACAATAAAGAAAATACATAAACAATATATTAAAGGACACATTTATAATTACAATAAGACAGCCTTATTGCAGAAAGGAATTAATTATACGTAGGTATATATGTTTTGTGTCCACTGCAGGTAATGTATTCGTAATAGCAGCAATATTGCTGGAGAGACATTTGCGAAGTGCAGCAAATCAGCTGATCTTGTCGCTGGCGGTGGCAGACCTGCTGGTGGCATGCTTGGTGATGCCGCTGGGAGCCGTATACGAGGTCGCCCAGCGCTGGACGCTGGGCCCTGAACTCTGTGACATGTGGACCTCGGGGGACGTGTTGTGCTGTACTGCCTCCATTCTTCATCTCGTTGCTATTGCACTTGATAGGTACGCATGAAATAAAGTGTGTAATATATATAAATTTGTCTATATTATGCTGATACATAGTATGTATAATAGTCAAAGGGAACAGAGTGGGGAATGTATTTCTGTATCTTTACTTATGCATATACCTCATGATTACTTAATTGTATGTAAGCTTCGCCCTCCGACGCGACGGTCTGAAATAGATACCCTAAGTACTTAAATGTTTTAAATATAGTTTCAATATATATAGACGTAGGTGTTTGAATACATGTATATTAATGGTTAATACTGAAAATAAGTTGTAAGAGAAAATACTAAAGAAATTGAAAATCTTTTTAGATGCTTACTGTAAATACAATATGTACAAGTTCTTAGGTATTAAAATATATAATCAACTTATATAATATAATGTAGGTATTATTTGCTACAACACCTAATATACCTTATTAATTTAATGTGTTTAGTATGAATTTGTGTGAACGCAAATAACCGACTGTACCCTCAGAACAACTTTTAACATACAATTACAAAGTTGTAAATATTTTCTATTTTGGAAAACACTAAATATTTTGATGCCTGAACGAAATATGAGTTGATAAAAACAAATTATTCTATTTTAATAAGTGTGTTATAAAAAATTATAATGAACTTTCAATTTGTTCCAGGTATCGGGCTGTGACTAATATTGACTATATACATGCACGTACAGCGCGACGAGTAGGCTACATGATTGCCTGTGTATGGATCGTTAGTTTCTTAGTGTGTATCGCCCCATTATTGGGATGGAAAGACCCCGACTGGAATCGTCGTGTCTCCGAAGATTTACGCTGTGTCGTAAGTCAGGACGTCGGCTATCAGATATTTGCAACAGCCTCATCGTTCTATGTACCAGTATTAGTAATTTTAATACTTTACTGGCGGATATATCAAACTGCCAGAAAAAGAATACGTCGCCGTCGGGGAGCGACAGCTCGCGGCGGAGTGGGCCCACCGCCCGTGCCCTCTGGTGGAGCGCTGGTCGCAGCCGGAGGCAGCGGCGGGATCGCGGCGGCTGTCGTCGCCGTTATTGGACGACCTCTTCCAACAATATCTGAAACGACGACAACTGGTTTCACCAACGTGTCATCCAACAACACGAGCCCCGAAAAGCAATCTTGCGCTAACGGTCTAGAGGCCGACCCTCCAACCACAGGGTATGGAGCAGTGGCAGCCGCATACTATCCCACTTTGGTACGGCGCAAGCCCAAAGAGGCTGCTGATTCAAAAAGAGAAAGAAAAGCGGCGAAAACATTGGCAATAATTACAGGTGCGTTTGTAGCATGCTGGCTTCCGTTCTTCGTATTGGCTATTCTCCTGCCGACATGCGACTGCGAGGTGAGTCCAGTGCTGACATCGCTGTCGTTGTGGCTGGGCTACTTTAACTCTGCACTGAACCCCGTCATCTACACGGTGTTCAGTCCGGAGTTCCGGCACGCATTCCAGCGACTGCTGTGTGGCCGTCGCACGCGCCGTCGCCGCGCGCCCCCGTAGCCACCCCTTCCCCAATCCTAATCCTTACATGACTGACCTCGTTTAGCTCGATACGTTATGTTACCTTGTTACAATTTTCAGAGATATATTTACACCCCTTTATTTTTTGTACGTGATGAATGTGAATACGAATAACTGTCTAGTAAATAAATTACAAATTCTCGTAAATAATTGTGGTTTTATTGTTATCTGTATCCAACTGGACTAACTAATCATATGACCTTCCAAGACAAGTACCTATCCACAAAATTGCTATATAGGTACTCAAACTTTTTCAATCCAAAAGCGAAACCTAAACTAAATCCATTATAAACTCGTAGAAACTCCCTACAGACTGAATGTTAGAATATCAAAAGTACTTTTTAGAGCCCCATGGACCGAATCACAAATAAGCTATATGTATATGTGAATTCCCATTCGTATATGTGAATAGAATAGCATAAATATATAATATAAGTTACTACTCGTATAATATTCTGATAGATATGAAAAAAAGATTCCAAAATTATGATGAAAGGTAAGTATAATTTTGTACAGATACCTGATTGCACGGCCAATACATTAGTTGCCATAAGCCGCACCCTTCTGACCAGAACACAGCGTGCAAACAAGGGACGGCAATCCTATCAATTACAGGTGAGACAAAGACCCATGAAAATTACATGGAACAAAATCGCTACTAGCAAAAATACTCGTAAGATAGATACTATTACATTCTAGTAGTATTTAAAGAATATAGTAACTTCTTATGTTATAAACAAATATCCATTACAGTTTTAGTAAACATAAATAAAATAGGCTTTTTTGTAATTAATATACAATATACTTATAATCGTAATGTCAAATGGTAATAGATGGAGGCATTTATTGTAAACTCAGTAAAAGCAACATTTGATATACACACATGCTAACAGAACATTCGCATAGTTCCATCAAGTAATCTAAAACTATCTGAAAATTATTGATCTTAGTTAGAAATTAGAATTGATACAATATCTTTGTTATATCTAAAATTCTAGGCTAATCTGATTAAAAAACATATATAGTTCTTTCAATGCGTTGAGAACTACTCTTATTATATTTATTTCTATGTGTTGTGGGGAATTATAGCTGATTTGTGTACTATAGATGAAATTATTGTATAAATTATTTTTATCATGAAATCAAGGTTCTCAAATTCATTTCAGCTTAAATTAATATTTTATTATATATTTCTGGTGGCAAGTTTTTAATGGAGTTAATGTGCTAGGTAGAAACCCGATAATATTGACTATAAAGCTACAGAGTGCCGTTTTAACGACAAAGCGTTCATATCTTTAATGTGCCATTATATCCCCCACTTGTTCTTTATACTTATGCCTGGGGGCATAATGTTTTTATTATTATTACAGAGCAGATAAGTTTTCGAGCAATGTATTCTTATATAGCTATATAAACGCCATTTTTTTATTAACAGGTCTTTACGACAGTTAATTATTTTTCCATTGAAATTTTCTCTGAACAGATCACACGTACTTTTATAGACCACAAAACGCTTATGTAATCATGTTAAATAAGATAATATATAATAATACAATAAAAATCTCTACTACAACTCGAGACGTTAATTTATCAATGTAATATATATAAATATGTATATTAAATACTAGCTGACCCGCGCAACTTCATCTGCATCACGCTTACATGACATTTACTATTATAGTTAATTTTAAACTTTCGTGTTTAATATACATTATTTAAATTATTAACCGGGTCTTAACACGAATTAAACCAGTCAGCTCGTGACCACGGCTAGTGCAACCTAGTCGAAACATCGAGAGAGGTAAATACCTTTATTTGCCATAAAATTATTCGTGTTAAGACCCGGTTAATAATTTAAATAATTTACTATTATATTTCGCCCAATTTACATAATATATTTTAAAATTATTGCCTATGTGTTATTTTGATGTATAAGCTATATTACTGTAAAGTTTCATGATCATTCAGTTTTTGCGTCACAAAACTTTCGCGTTTATATAGTAATATTAAAAACGCGAAGAGTACAGTGCTTGTATTCTATTTTCTCTGTTCTATATTTTTTTAAGGAGTATCAACATGTAATTGCCGTAAGGCGTTAAGTCCGCTATATGTACTTTTACTAATATATATGTATTTATTTTTAATCCTGTCATTTAAGGTTCCCTGTATATTTCAGACCATTTATGGTGTACGTATGAAAAATTGTTAAGTGTTCTGCCGATTGCGTGTCGCTACTATAGCTATGGTAAGACAGAATGTATATAATGAGCAGTTTACGAAGCATCTCTAAAGTTCCCTCATCTAAAACTATCGGATAATGCCAAAACTTGAGCATAGCAAGACTACACAAGTTCAAAATTATTTAACCAGACTATGTTAAATACTATTCACACTGTTTTACCTTATTTAGTTTGAATGTTATTGAAGTTTGGTTTAAAATATATAACACACCGAACTTTATTTATTATTAATATTATTAATATAGTTGTCGATTTGTGCTTTTGACTGTTGACAAAATTAAGAGAGAATTATTCTATTCTCTAAGAATAGACTCATTACAAGAACATGCTTAAAAATACTATTAATAATGACGACGGGTTGGATTAAACTAAATTAAACAGTCAGATGTGATGTTTTCGTATGTTTTATGTATAACCATACTTATATTATAAATACAAAAGCCTGTTTGTTTGTTTTTTTTTACTGCTAAGAAACTGAACAGATCTTTCTATTTGAAATGAAGATTGTGTGTCATATACCTGTATATCTTTTTTTTTTGACAAATCGGGTACGAAATCGCTGATTAATAATAGTTACTTATAAAACCAAATGAAAAACTAACCCTGCTTACTCAAAATATTTCTTTCATATAAAGTAGATGACCCTGAGTGAAAAAAAAATATTTTACTGTAAGGAGCAATTATTTTTATATCTATTTACTTGGCCAAAATATACTACGTATAGTAAAAGAATATCATGGTAAGTATTATATCATTATTCACACTATTCGTCATATAAACATGAACACCACTGTCCATGTACAACGGGTATACGGTGTAGAGTTATTTCATTGTGGGTAGGAAATATGGGTGCAAAACTTCAGAACTTTATGCTTCACTGTAAATCCGCGAAACCGCTGTCAACCGTTACACTAACTGAACAAGTTTTGAAAACTTTAATAATCCAGTAAACTGTACTACATTCGCAGTCACATTTACCTCTATAATTTGTAACGCTCAAATGTCGATATAGACAATATCCATGACAGCAACAAAATACAAACTATAATATATACTGTGGAAAATTATAATATAAATTTAACTATATTTTTTTTTTATTGATAGCGAAGCTTACAGGTTCGTTAATTATTTTTATTATGTTCTTTTTGTTCAATTCTAATTATGCAGATCTAAACAGACAAACAGTCAGATAGGTAGGACAAAATTATAAGCGTTTTTATTCTAAAGCTTCCATTGGACAACAGTAAACATAATATACCTGAGTAGGTAGATTAAGTACATATCTATTTTTATTTACTAAAATATTGTATTACAAGATTGCCAGCAAGTCTCATACATTTTATTATGATGTTATATCAACTCAGTCTCGAATGGAAATACGATAGGGAGATTATTGAGTTACGCAGACCTACATCAATATGTGAAACGAATGGAACGAGATGGCTCTCCAATGTTACGATTTATTTTCCAAGTATTGTTTACTTATAGTAAATCAAGAACAATATTTGGGTACATTAAAATTGCACTTTGTTGTCTGTTGTCCCTATTTGTGCTAAAAATATTTGCGTTTTGTTATTCTTACTCAATAAAAATTCCAGAATAACAAACTTGAAGTTATTATGCACAAAGACAGGAAAGATTTTTCCATTTAATATCAGCGTTTTATTTACAGAATCGGATCAACCATTGCCAAAAAATTCTCACTGATTTGTTATTGTGCTTTTGTATTTAAAACTTGGATAATAATGATAATACTAATGATTCTAGATTAAAATTACATAGATTAGAATTAGCTATAATTTGAAAGAAAGAAGAAAGAAAATTGTTTATTTGGTACACTGAAAATAATTCAGTTATTAATAAATAATTAAGTATAATTTGTATTAGTGTCATATGTTAATTGGGTTTAAATTCACTTATCATACACATCTTAATGTTATTGTGGGAATTTTTTATTAGGTATAAGTTGATACTATAGTTCGATTCGAATTATGTTTGTGTAATATCTTTATAGTAATTATCGAAATCAAATTTGTAGAATTTCGTCAGCTGGGGTAATTCTGACTTACATGTGTAAGATGTCATTTATTTGTAGGGCAAGATAAGGCAGTTTAAATTACTGTCATGATATCTTAGTCCTCTAACGCTTGAGTAATAGGTATTACGGTCGTCACATGATAAAGTAACATTTGTAACAGCTACCTATAAAGGCTACTTTTACCACTTTCCATCAAGTGAGACGTCAAATTCGTTGTCATTCCAAATACATATATTCATTTTCATATAGAGACAGAACTGTGCATTTTGTATTAGGTAATTTAATAAAAAGGAATACATAACTCAGGTATCCTTCAGTATGTGGCCTTCGATCGACTTTGCAATATGTAGAAATTTGTAGGTAGTTCGTGGCTACTTTGGCCTTGGTCAAGCCATTGGTGACATAATGACAAACTGCCTAACTCGATTCGCCGACCGCTTTCGGTTACTACCAGTGTTGCTATTTCTTTTCTTTCCTAGCAAATTTTGCCCTAAAATTGATATTTAGAAGAAAAATTCATGAACTGTTGAAACATTATCCCATAAAGTTATGTCGTTTTTAGCTTAAAAACATCATATGAGTATTTGTTTTTGATTAGTACACCAGCATTACTCTGTCTGACGTATTTTTGTTTTCTTTTAGTTACTTCAATTTTCACACATTCGAATGACCCGAACTTTCTATGTCACATTAAAAATTCTCATCGATATAAAATCACTCTAAATTTGAGGGTAAAACCCTCAATCTGGCACACTGGTTAGGTAGTACGCTTCGCTCGACCAGACATCGCCCATTTCCAACTTAGTTCAGTCTGATATACAACCACCTAACTTTGTTT